GTCTAAAACTATAAAATCTCTTTATTCCCAATTTATTTCCTCTTGCTTTTTATACAGTTATAATTCTGTTTTGAGAAAACTTTTTTTGCCTTTTGGTGCACTAAACTGCCAATTGTCTCGACTCCGAAAGCACCCACATCCTCGTGAGAATCTACTCTTTAATATTTTGTAATTCGCTTTTTTTCTCAAAACATTTTATCTCTTTATAATTGATGAAGGATTGGTAGTTACATTTTCCGATAATGGTATGACTAGTCCTCATTTTTCCATTGGATCTCACATATCTTTGCTTCCCGAAAAGTATTATCATCCAGACTGGACTGTAGTTTCTCATCAGCACGTTCAGTGGGACTCTAACCCTGATAGGCTGAATACAGATCTTATATCAGACCTATCGTTAGTCTCGAAAACCAACTTATTAACGGGAAACCCTAACCCTTTATCCATAAATCTCCTTGTTTGTTTAACATTGGGGCTCTTCTGGCATATAATTGTACCAATCCTTGTCATTTTTTTATTTCCACCGTCTATCAGACATCAACTGAAGACAATCCTATCGACGAAGAAGAACGAAAAAGACATTTGGATCAGCTATTAAAAGAAGGTTTGGAATATTTAGATTCTGCTTCCGGTATGCCTTCTGGTCGCCTGCAAAGCGCCAGTGGAAGCCGACCTGGAACTCGAGGCGGCTCTGGGTTCATGGTAACGTGTTCAGTTTGTCTTTTACTGTTCATACATTTGGTATGGCCTCAGTTGGGTAACAGTGGAATTTGTCGGAGCAACAGATAATTAAATATTCGCCAAATTCTCTTAAAATCGCTTGATATTAAGGCCGAAAAAAGTAAATGCTTTTGTTCAATCAGACTAAAGGGTTCCTTGAATTTAACCTCATGTAGATGGGTTTTAAGGATACTTTCACAATGCTTGTGATTTTCATTGTTTTGCCGCCTAAGTATGGGCATCTATATGCTTAAGATCATGTGTATAACTTATAAGTAGTATTTACTAAGAGAGAAAATTCTACCGAGACAAACAGTCTTTTCGAATAAAATCCCTATTGTTGTTAGTATTTAGTTGGTTTCGGCTACCAGGAATCTTAATGTTGAAAAGTTACACCATTTTTATTGTGTTATTTAGGGACTATTTCATGGGGTTTTGACGATAAAGCTTGGGGTTGCATTGGATTCAACTAGTCCAT